GAGATCTGGATCCCAGTGATATGCAAGGTGGCTACCATGGTGACAGTGGTGGACCATTTGTCTGCAAGGACTCGACATCCGGGAAGTTTGTCCTAGAGGGTGCGGTCAGTTGAGGCTCTTCGAATTGTAACTTTGTTCAGCAGAGCAAACAGTGCACAGTGTTCGCTCGTGTCAGCGAGTTTCGCGACTGGATTGATCAACAAATTGTCCTGAACTGAAGCAATCATACAACCGTATTCACAGGGATTTGACAAAATTAATACATTATATAGACCGGTTTGACTGTTGATAGCCGACGTTCCGCAAAAACAAATCGTCTCTTTTGAAACTGCATATTTTCTTGAGAATAAACGGATTAGAAGGCAGTGAGTGTAATATCTCTTATTCTCTTAACCGAAAGGTAATTCCCTTCATTACATCTCGATCCCAGCCTTCTAATAATACCCACCCCTCCCCGCCCCCCGCCTCAAAACGGGTTTTGTTTCCCAAATAGCTCTCAGTGTTACCATGGTGATCTTGATGATTCGGCAAACGTTCGCCGTTTAGCCGTTTACACAGCAAAGTAAGAGATAATATTTCTGTTTGCTACTAATAGGATTTTTTCCCTACTCTTGTGTTACTTGATTTTAAGATTAGAGCAAAAGAAAACAAAATCATGGCAATTTTCCCGGGTTTTGTTTTTCGGTGTTTTTTTTTTTTTTAAGTCATTCTTAAAGTCACCAATTTCTGCGATGTACGTAACTGATGCCAAATTACAAAACGTAATGACAACGAGAATGACAACCTCGCGACAATCGAATGGGGAAAAGAGAAAAACTATAAGAAAAGAGCGAGACCGCCTCAAGTAGACACCATTACGATGGTCGATTTAATGAAAGGAGCAAAAAAGTCAAGTGCAAAAAGGTTTTTTATCGTACATATAATTTCCGTGCAAATATTTGACGGTCCTTACATGCTGTAAGCTTTCCGATTTCCGGAGACTTTACCGGGTTAAGACAAAGTCGCGGGCAGACTTTCAAATTTCAGTTACAGTGCATGGTGTAAAGCTCATGTTTAAGTAACAAAAATAAACCCACAATATATTAAGGCAAGCTTTGTAAAAATATGCTGGCAATCAAAAGTGCAACAAATGTCCCGACGAAGATTTATAGCATCCGATGGTTTTACACTCTTTTGGATTCACATATGGAATATAAAAATATTTGTTTAATCTACGCATAAAACAAAGTTTAAGAAGCGTTGTGGTAGAATACGTGGCATGCAAATTGAGGCTTTCAAGCGACACATAATTTACACATGTCTCTTCGTTTTCTTTTGTTTTTTTTTT